CGTGGCCGGCCGCTCCGGCCTCGGGGACCCCAGTAAGAAAGGGAGGCTCCCCCCGAGTCTGATGCCCCCAGTGAAGGGGGGTCCCCATAACCCGACTCAGGGGGGCCTGGCACCGCCCTGACCCAGCGCCGGGGTTCTGTCCGGTACTGTCCCGGCCTCGGAGTCGGGCCTTGTCGCCATCGAGGCCCCTCAGCGGACGGATCAGACCGGGAACGGGGGCGGGAAGGTGCCTGGGGCTCCCCCCCCCTTCCTGAGCTGCCCCTGGGGCGGGGTCAGAGCCAACATCCTCAGCCTCCTGCCCGGATCGCACCCCGCGGGGTTCTTCAAGGAACCGGAGCAGCTGTAATGCTTGGTTCTTCTTCCTTAGCTTCGAGGGACCTTTTAAAAGAGTTCCCGCAGCCCAAAAACCTCCTCAACAGCGTGATCGGAAGAGCCCTGGGCATCTCACACGCAAAAGACAAACTGGTCTACGTGCACACGAACGGACCGAAGAAAAAGGTAACGCCCGCCGGGAGCGGCCCTGGGGACGGACACACACACACACACACACACACACACACACACACGGCCCTCCTCCCGCGGCTGCTCTGTCACGGAGGCCGTTTCTGAATTGAAAGCCGTCTGAGCACAGGAGGCCCGAGAAGGGCCTGGTTAGGGGCGCAGGGCCCTGGTCCCCGTCGGCTAACAGGGCTGCTGGGCTGGGTTCCTGGGCCCGGAGCAGGCGGGCAAACCTGCTGAAGGTTTTCAGCGTCAAGACGGGCCGCCTGCCCTCTGCCCAGAACCGGGCCGCCTGCCCTCTGCCCAGAACCGGCCTTTGAAGAAGCCACGCCACGGGCGGTCCCCGCTGGGCTCTGATTCTCCCTGGGATTTGCCGCCTGGAGCGCAAGGGCCCTGACCCCCTCTTCCTTCCCCAGAAAGTCACCCTCCACATCAAGTGGCCCAAGAGCGTGGAGGTGGAAGGCTATGGCAGCAAGAAGATCGACGCCGAGCGGCAGGCTGCTGCCGCCGCCTGCCAGCTGTT